CAGACATACAGGGTAAATGGTCCATATGACATTTAACTATGTTTTTCTTCAGTGAACCATAACCCATTCTTAACAGTGACCTTTCAAGAAGATGATATGGCTCCACAATTAAAGTTACACTTGGATTGCAGTAACACCATTAAGCTGACAAACACCACCCAAACATCAGTTTCATACTATAAACTTCTCATGACAACTTCAAAGCTATTAGCTGAGAGGGTCAAACCTCACAGACTACTCTAGCCAGGACTTTGGTTAAGCCCTTTACTTTCCTAGTACACAGAGACTGTATAACAAATGTGATACCTAGTTTTCCCAGGATTTGACTATTACTTCAATATTTATTTCATGGTCCCTGAAAGATGCTGTCACACCCCAGACAACAGGTAGTGATTTCAAGAACATGGACACCCACATTCCTAAGAGATAGGGTGGATGGTTCTTGGTCAAAAAGTGGTTATTTGTCATCTTTTAGAGGGGTTGGTTGCAAATTGTGACTGGTCATAGTATGGGAGGAACGTGAAAAAAGCAATTAGATATAAGGATTTCTTTATGAAAAGAATCATGGGGGATAAAGAAATGATAGGCTAAAAAGGTAGATTATTAAATCTACTTTAAACTAAAAAAACTATTAATTCCAAATATTTTACATTGGTATGGATTTTTGTATATTGATAAAATTTATTTTAAGGCAGTATAACTATGCAGCTCATTTAATAATTTAACACAAATTCCTAGTCCTTGAAAGTTATTATTAAAAACTAGTTAGGATAATTATAAAATATAGGTTAGTAGTTAGTAATCTAACAACCAAATTTGTGGTCATGTTAGGTATGTTTTCAAGGTCAGAGATATATTTTAAATAGATATGTGGTCTGCAAACACTTCAAAGACCTACAGAATGTGACATTTAAAATGTTTTAATAAAATAAGGCTTTTCATGACAATAAGACAAGTCTGCTTGTGGCATCACCAATTCACTTCAAAAAAGGATGGTGGACATTGAAGATTTTACACATAAAGTTTGCTTTGTATGTGGCAAAGCTACTCATTTGGGCAATAAATCCTTGCCTTGACTGCTGAGGGCATGCTGAGGGTATGCTGTCCAAATTGGACATGCAAGACAGACACCAAAGAAGGCAACTGCCAAACTTTGCCAAGAAAATGTAGGACAATCCTTCAAAATTTCTGTTTCAGAAAATTTCTGCCAGATATTCTACCCCATAGGATCCAGATGGATGCTTCAATGTTGCAGAGGAATCTTGGGTGAATGTCCAAGCAGTCATATGTCTTTGTCATTTCTATAGTTTTGGAAGTGGTTTACTCTACACTTCCCATTTACTTAATATATTTTTCTCAGGTTTCTGATTGACTAAAGACTAGGTAGCTATAATTACAGTTTTCTTTGTTATCAAATACATAAAAGAAACTCACAAAAAAGGTGTAAAGTGTATAAGGTTGAGAGACATAAAAGCTTAAACTGTTTATCTAAGAAAATATTTTGAGGTCTAAAAAGATAGCTTTCGGTTGATAATAGAAGTTATGATAGAATTAGACACAAAATTTTGACTCAACAAAATAGGATAGATAATGGAATACTTTTCTCTAAATTTTCCAAATACAGATAGAATGGATGTTGTAAATATAGTTTTTTATGTGATAATTATTCTTATTGTATATACTTTTATTGTGTTAGGGTTAATACCTTCCCTTTTATTTAAAAAAAGTGGAAAATATTGTGGAATATTTGCACACTGTGAAAATGTATTGTTGTGATTGGTTTAATAAAAAGCTGAGTGGTTAACAGGCAGAAAAGCTAGGTGGCACTTCTGGGTAGAGAAAGAATTCTGGGAAGAGAAAAGGTAGAATCACTAGGCAGATACGAAGGAAGCAGGGTGAGCAGCACAGATTGAAGGTAACTGAGCCATGTAAAAGAACATAGATTAAAAGAAGTGGATTAATTTAAATTATAAGAACTAGTTAGGAACAAGCTAGGCTAAGGCTGAGCTTTCATAATTAATAAAAACTCTCTGTGTCGTAAGTTGCAGGCTGGTGGTCCCTATGAGAAACTGCTACACTATGTCCCATCTGCTGACACCTGCTTCTTGTGAGCAGTCCCCAAGGGCAGCACTGTCATAGGGAGGGTTGGAACTATGGGGCTTGCTCTTTACAGCTCCTGCCAACTACATGAAGTCTGCCTGTGAGATTCCTAGGACACAGGCTCTTTAAATCAAACTTTTATTATCAGGTATTCTTTTTATATCACAGAAGTTTCATATTGGAGTTTTTCCATTTTTATTAGTAGAATTATCTCTTCCTTGTCCTCTCCCCTAGAGTGTAATAAAACAACCTGTCTGGTATATATTACATAGCTCCAAATCTCATTAGCTCCTCATTGATGAGAAAGACTATTTGCACAGGGACATAAATAGCATGACTCAATTAAATGATTTCATATGGACACACACACATATGCATACACACACACACACACACACACACACACACACACACACAGAGAGAGAGAGAGAGAGAGAGAGAGAGAGAGAGAGAGAGAGAGAGAGAGAGAGGTAAGCTAGCTGTGCAGACTTCTCTCTAGAAGGAGGGTATTGCCTTGGCCTTTAGAAGTCTGCGAGTGTCTTCTTCATCCAAGGAAACAACGGAAGCATATCAGCATTCCCCTGACACTCTCCTCTGTGCACACCACAGGGGTGAAGCAATTGTGGTTCCATTTTTAGATGAGGAAAAAGATACCTGCCCAAAGACATGAGTCCTGCTTTACTGCTTCTTCCCGCACGAGTGAGTATATTAAATTGTGCCATTCTTAGCTTGAACTCCTTTTCTGCCTCACCACAGTGTCTTAGGCAGACATTCGTGTAGGTGCCTTTCACAATATGGATCAGATAAGGGGTTTGTAAAATTTACTAAAAAATTTCTTAAAACTATCCCTACTTGTGAAAACTAGTTAAAAGGGTATGATTTCTGGCATATTCCCTGAATGGACATTTGAAAGCCTAGAAGTAGTCTGCTAATTTGAAATGATGAAATTAGCATGTGTTTGAATTTTTGTGATTTATTAAAAAGACAATAAACAAATTCTTTAATTATTTGGTAAATATATTACTTATTCACTTTGAACTTAAATTTCTATTATATTTTCTCAAAGAACTATAGCCTACTATAATACTCTTGAAATCATTTTAATGATTCCCATATTATATTTCTTTGTAACAAAAAATATATACAATTTAATTTAAAATTACTTTTTAATTGTTCTTGGCTCCAAGGCTTTAGTATTATGAATTTCACTGGGCTTGGGTGATCATGGGATTATTATTAATGCACAATTGTCTAAAACAACAAAATGTCCCACAGAGTTAATAAGTTATTATTAATCAAGAAAGCTAAATTGTGTTGCAGACTTGTGTCTCTTGGATGGGTGGTTATTTCTCTTCACTTATCTTCTACACTTTTGGGTGTATGATGAACTGCTGAGAAAGGTGTTTGCATTACGAGCAGGTGAGAAGCAATGGAGTTGCTATAGCAATGTCTCTAACTTCTTGTTTCTGACTTATAGATATCAAATCTCATCACAATCTCTCATCAAAAAACATTTCTAAATGATTTATCAACTGACAAGAAGGTTATGAATATTGATTTTATTGAGAGCAAAAAAAAAAAAAAATGTATGTCACCTCATATCGGAAGAATGTTGGCCCAGGTATTATAAAATTCACTGCTGTCAGCGCTGACGATATGTAAGACAGTCACTTTCCACTGCCTGCAATGAATTGTATCTTATAAAGTTGCTGTGCAATAAGCTTTGGAATGGTAAGAAAGGCTGCTTTGTGTAAATTGGGAGTGCATATTGCTATTGTTTGGTTATTCAATGCCCCCTAAAGCCTATGGGTTAGATAATTAGTTCCCATGGTGGCAGCTTGAGGAGACAGTGGATTAAAGGGGAGATGGGACTTTATGAGAAATCTACAGAACACTGGGGGCTGTGCCTTTCGAAGAGACTGTGGGATCCGGAAGCACTCACTCTTCTGTTTTTTGGCCCTAAGGTGAACAATTTGCTCCACTGCAAGCTCCTCACTATTACTCTTTGGCACCCCTACCTGAAGCCCAAGAATAGCAGATCTATCCAATCACAAACCATAAATCCTTAACCCATAAGCCCAAGGAATCCTTTTCTCTGTGTAAATTAGTTATCTCAGGTGCTTTGTTATAGAAACAGAGATGTAACCAACATAGCTATAAAGAGGAAAAAGTTAAACCTTTTTAGATGCAGGTCATTTCAGCAAAAGAGTTTAAGTAGATGTGCCTGTAAAGGTTGTGAGACTTAATTATTTTTCTTAAAATTTTCTATAGCCATGTATCTCTTGGAGAGTTTTTGTATCTCCCTAGGTGTTTGTGTGGTCATATTAGGATAGGTAAATCTATATTGATTTCCTCTGAGTCCTTGAACCACTGTTAATGACAATGGAAAGCAGCAGAGGGATGACAGAAGTGAAGGATGAGAGAGTGGGGAGAAGAGTGGAGAGTACAGAACAGAGAGAGAGAGAGAGAGAGAGAGAGAGAGAGAGAGAGAGAGAGAGAGAGAGAGAGAGCATGAGTGTAGAGAGGGAGGAGGGGTGTTCAGGCTATCATACAATCTGGAAACAGTGCATTTCAGAAAAGCACAAATCTTACCATCTAAATGACTACTGAATAATAATGACTGCCTAACTCCATAATGCTGGACCTACAATTCCACAGCAGGTCTTGCTCTTTTTTTTTTTTTTTTCTCTGAATCTCATTGTTTGTGTTGTTTTCAAAATGGGTTCTACCAGCCCTTGTTCTGTTTTCCCATGCCAGCCACAAGGGCCAGTAGGCATTGTGCTTTCTATTGTAGATATTTTCTCTCACACACCGTCTCAGAGGCACAAGACTCCAAAGCCCTTTAGACTTTAGCCAAAGAAGTCATAAGGGACAAAAGTTCTTTCAAAAAGACAACTTACAATGAGTGGGCCCCGGTTGTTTTCCCGGTACTTGTTCTGGAAGAAAATGTACACAACAGTGGCAGCCAGAGAGTAGAGAAATGCGAAGACAGCCACGGTGACGAAGAACTCTGCCGAGGACGAGGAGTCGCCAACAAGTGCCAGCTTCTGCCGTTCCTTCCCCTCACAGGTGGGCACTTCAAAGGTCACCTGGTGCAACCTAAAACCGCCAGAGGCAAGAAGACATGACATTTTGTAGAAGGTGAAATGTCCACAGCCACCACGTCTGCTAACGTCAACCAAGAGATAGTTGGGAGTTCCACGAAGCATCCACTAGAGAATTTATTAACGAATTTATAGATTCTAGCTGAGCCTGTGGAAATAAATACCACAGAGGAGGCAATTCACCCAGCAGAGGCAAGAAGGAAAAGAGAATCTAAAAGGAGGACTACTTTTGGCTGAGATTCTGTTCTCTCTCCTTAACACGGACAGCAGCCTTGGGTCCTGCCTCTGTCCCAGCCCCTTCTCCCAGTGCTTTAAGCTCCATCCTCCTGCTCCAACACATAGCCTGTTTAACCTACCTCAGTTACACCAAGCAGGGTAGAACCTGTGCCAGCCTCCTCAGCATCCAGGCTCCACATCCTCCCTAGGGAACCTCCTGCTGACTTCTCAACCAAGGTGGCTTCTTTCCTGTATACATTTTTATTGTGTTTCTTCCTCCTTTTTGATCTTTGGAATTTTAATGTAATTACACATTTCTTCCAGCATTTTAGTTTCATGCTGCTTTATAACATTTGTGGTGTTTGTTAGCAGTGAAGTGCTCTAGATGACATGCTTGCTTGCTGTTTTGCTGGGTTTTTTTCCCCGTCTCCATAGCTTCCTTAGTGGTGACTATTAATCTCTGATGGTGTGGGATTTGGTTTTCCTCTCTTCCCTGAACCCCAATGCTGGCTTTTATTAGGCATTCAGTACTTGACTAAATGAATGAACAGTCTTCGTTCTGTCTGGTCCTTTTTAGATGGATTTTTAGAGTCTTTGCATGGTGAGCTCTCCCAGAAGAGCATCCAGAACAGCGTGGTCCACAGTGGGGACAAAGGAAATGCATGAACCAACACCTCTCGCTCAGTCTACCAACACCCAAGGCAGCCATATTACATGCATATTGCAACAATGTGAGCCCAACCACATGTAATTTGGTCTGAGGAACCAAGATTCTTCCAAAATGACTGCTCTGGAGACACTTGGAAATCTACATTAAGGAAACTTGTTAAGTTCACTGAAGTTTCACTTGGGAAATTACCTGTAGAAGTACAGTGTTCGTACAGCCATTCCTAGTTCATATTTAGGGAGTACTTTTTCTTACTGAGGAAAATGTATATAACCCCTTTCAAAGTGTACATTGTGTATATAGTCTACCAGTATATGCATTAACACTAATCATAAACTAATACTTATAGCAATGGAGCTGCCTATTATGTTTCATTTATGTTGAACTCTGTTTTGGACACATTACTTAATCTAATGTTCATAACAAACTCTACAATGTGGGCTCTTTGCGGCCCTTCACCACTTACAGGTAAAGAAACAGACTTGGAAGAATCACAAGTCTCTCTTAGGATACCCAGATAGTTTTGGTGGACTAGGAGTTTAAATTTATGTCTAACTTTAGAGTCTTCTAAAAACATCCATATTAATTTTTTTATACTAACTAATCATGATGTTAGCTTAGATAAATGCTTTCAAAATGAACCTGTGGAACCCTGGCAGTAGAATTTTCAGAGAAGGTGACATGTATTGCAGGGCTCTCTTCCAGGCCCACGGAAAGCCCTAGAAGTAAAGCTGCATTGGCAGTAGAAGGAAATCCAGTTTTTAAGACCTTCATTTTTTCAAGTTTACATTGTCCACTTGTAGAAGAACTCTTTTCTTAAGAAATAGGTTATGCTTTGTTATAACACAGGCATTGTGTCAGATTTTCTTCATAACCTGCTCTGTGGGAATGTAGGGAAAATGAATTTAAATGAAAAGGTAATCATATTAATTCTGAAGCAGATGATCTCAAAATAAGGCTTACCTTCCTTCCCTATCAATAATCTGTTATTCATCAGACAAACTTTTGACAAGCAACTCTATTTCATATAATGAGTATGTGCGGGGCATGGGATGGGATGACTTCTGATCAGATTGGAGCTCAGTGTTAATGAGGAAGGTGACCTTTCTAAGCAGAACCCCATCCTATCCTGGGTATAAGGTAGTCAAGGGAAATTTCCTGCTGGAATTTACCTTAAAGCAACAGCTTCACAAATGACCAGAAATTGTCTAGATCAAAAGATAAGAAAGAAAAAAAAAAAAGACCCAACTTTCTGTCTGCACAGATGGCTATCCTGTGTAAAGACTGTGAGAACAGCAAATGCTGATGAGACATAGGGAAGCTGACAGTTTCATTCATGAATGGTGGGAACAGATCCTGGAACATGCATTTTGGAAAACTATGGCAGTTCTTCAACTGGTGAAACATTGAGTTATTGTAGGTTCCAGCGATCCTGTTCCTAAATATGCATGCAAGACAAATGCTAACACATGTTCACACAGAAACTATCATAAGAATACTCATGCAGCATTTTTCTTAATGGAAAAATGGAAATTATCCAAATGTTAATAAATTGTTAAACAGATAAAATATGGTGTTGAATGAAACATTACTTGTCAATAAAATCAATAAAGTTCTTATACTTGCTACACCATTGAGAAACCCTGACAGTATTTTTGCTGAATGAAAGAAGTCATATGTAAAAAGTCAAATGCTGCTTGCTTCTATTCATGAAAAACATTCAGAATAATCAAATTTATGAAGCTAAAAATAGGGTAAATGTTGCACTGTAGTTGGTGGTAGGAGAATTTGGCCTGGTGGCTAAATGTCCCAAGATTTGTGTGTAGGATAATGAGAAGTTCTAGAATCAACTGCTGTGATGGATACACATCATCCAGCCATGAAGTTACAAATATTATAGTAACACACTGTACATCTGGAGGGCTGAAGAGATGACTCAGTAGTTAACAGCACTTGCTGCCCTTCCAGAGGATTCAGGGTTGATTCATAGCACCCATATGGAAGTTAAGAACTTTTGGTAATTCCAATTCTATGGTACACATGGCTCTTCTGGCCTCTGAGAGCACTAGGAATGCATGTATTATGCAGATATACATGTAGCAAAACATAAATACATACAAAAATAAAATAAGCATAATAAAAATGGTGAATTACTGGTAAGTAAATTAACTTTAAAAATGTTTTAAAAGAGAGAGAGAGAGCTGAGTATGTGCCTAATCCCTGTATAGACAAGAGCTAAACACACTGGGGGGATGCAGTGTGGGTGGGGAATGCAGTGTGAGTGGAGAATGCAGTGTGGGTGGGGAATGCAGTGTGTGTGGGAAATACAGTGTGAGTGGGGAATGCAGTGTGTGTGGAGAATGCAGTGTGTGTGGGGAATGCAGTGTGGGTGGGGACTGCAGTGTGAGTGGGAAATGCAGTGTGGGTGGGGAATGCAGTGTGGGTGTGGACTGCAGTGTGAGTGGGAAATGCAGTGTGTGGGGAATGCAGTGTGTGGGGGGAATGCAGTGTGGGTGGGGAATGCAGTGTGAGAGGGAAATGCAGTGTGAGTGGGAAATGCAGTGTGGGTGGGGAATGCAGTGTGTGGGGAATGCTGTATGAGTGGGAAATGCAGTGTGAGTGGGAAATGCAGTGTGAGTGGGGAATGCAGTGTGAGTGGGGAATGCAGTGTGAGTGGGAAATGCAGTGTGAGTGGGGAATGCAGTGTGGGTGGGAAATGCAGTGTGGGTGGGGAATGCAGTGTGAGTGGGGAATGCAGTGTGGGTGTGGACTGCAGTGTGAGTGGGAAATGCAGTGTGGGTGGGAAATGCAGTGTGAGTGGGGAATGCAGTGTGGGTGGGGAATGCTGTGTGAGTGGGAAATGCAGTGTGAGTGGGGAATGCAGTGTGAGTGGGAAATGCAGTGTGAGTGGGGAATGCAGTGTGGGTGGGGAATGCAGTGTGAGTGGGGAATGCAGTGTGAGTGGGGAATGCAGTGTGGGTGGGGACTGCAGTGTGGGTGGGGAATGCAGTGTGAGTGGGGAATGCAGTGTGGGTGGGGAATGCTGTGTGAGTGGGAAATGCAGTGTGAGTGGGAAATGCAGTGTGGGTGGGAAATGCAGTGTGAGTGGGGAATGCAGTGTGGGTGGGGAATGCTGTGTGAGTGGGAAATGCAGTGTGAGTGGGGAATGCAGTGTGAGTGGGAAATGCAGTGTGAGTGGGGAATGCAGTGTGGGTGGGGAATGCAGTGTGAGTGGGGAATGCAGTGTGAGTGGGGAATGCAGTGTGGGTGGGGACTGCAGTGTGGGTGGGGAATGCAGTGTGAGTGGGGAATGCAGTGTGGGTGGGGAATGCTGTGTGAGTGGGAAATGCAGTGTGAGTGGGAAATGCAGTGTGAGTGGGGAATGCAGTGTGGGTGGGGACTGCAGTGTGGGTGGGGAATGCAGTGTGGGTGGGGAATGCAGTGTGGGTGGGGAATGCAGTGTGGGTGGGGAATGCAGTGTGAGTGGGGAATGCAGTGTGAGTGGGAAATGCAGTGTGAGTGGGGAATGCAGTGTGGGTGGGAAATGCAGTGTGGGTGGGGAATGCAGTGTGAGTGGGGGAATGCAGTGTGGGTGTGGACTGCAGTGTGAGTGGGAAATGCAGTGTGGGTGGGAAATGCAGTGTGAGTGGGGAATGCAGTGTGGGTGGGGGAATGCTGTGTGAGTGGGAAATGCAGTGTGAGTGGGGAATGCAGTGTGAGTGGGAAATGCAGTGTGAGTGGGGAATGCAGTGTGGGTGGGGAATGCAGTGTGAGTGGGGGAATGCAGTGTGAGTGGGGAATGCAGTGTGGGTGGGGACTGCAGTGTGGGTGGGGAATGCAGTGTGAGTGGGGAATGCAGTGTGGGTGGGGAATGCTGTGTGAGTGGGAAATGCAGTGTGAGTGGGAAATGCAGTGTGAGTGGGGAATGCAGTGTGGGTGGGGAATGCAGTGTGGGTGGGGAATGCAGTGTGGGTGGGGAATGCAGTGTACAGAGGCAGAGGCATAGTATGGATGGGGAATGCTGTCAGAAAGTTGGAAAGGAGATTGATGGTGTGGAAAGAGAACAAGAAGCATCCAGAGACATCCACTGGGGATGGAGCAGGAGCAGTGAG